CCACGGTCTTCCGATCGTGACTCGGGCGCACTACCACCGCGGCCAACTCCACAATGAGTCAATGAATTTCTTATTTTTTTCTAGCTGTTTGAACGGTTGGTTTTTACCTCTTCGGAAAAAAGAAGGACCAGTTAGAGCATGGAAAGCAGGTAGCGCTAAACATAAATTTTTTTCCTAATTCTTTAAATAAATTGCTGATCAACAAATCGCTGCTTTTTTCCTACTCCGACGTGCATGTGGATTTTAACTTCTTCTTTTACGTGAACCATATTGCTTAGCATTATAACTAACACCTTGTGCGCACCGCGGCAAAAGTGCATTGCGCGCGCTCTCAATTTTTAGTTTCAGGTCGATGTAAGAACTGGTTTGGTCCACGTTCAAGCCGTAAGATTTTTTTTCTTCTTATTTATACTCTAAACTTGAGTCTCATATAAATTTCAGAGTGAATAAGATTTGTCACCACCTTCGTGAAATATTACATGATTGACTACCTATAAGAACAATTTTGTCCCGCTTGCCAGGTGTAAGAAACATTTTATCATTAACTACCTGCAAAATAAGTTTTGAGGTGAATAACATTTGGCACACCACCCGCTTTTTAATTTCACTCCCCCGCAGGGGTTGTCCCACCCTCCAGGTGCAAGAAATGACTTTTCTTCATCAGAAAGATGTACTCTATCGACTATATAGGCGTTCCCGGTGAATAAGATATGACAGAAATTTGTGTCGTCGGCTCTCGGACTGAGATTGTCCTTGAAACAAAGAGAAGTAGTTAGAGGGAAAATTGAGGAGTTGCTCGATGCAGGGATAATCAGGGAGTCATATTTAGATTTTGCGAGTCCTATAGTATTAGTTAAAAAGGAAAATAACGAACTACGGTTATGTGTAGATTATAGGGCTTTAAACAAAGTTACAATTAGAGATGCTTATCCGATGCCAAACATAGAGGAGCAATTGAATTGTAACCAGGGGTTTCACTAAATAGCTGTAGCTGCAAACTCCATTCCGAAAACAGCTTTTGTCACCCCTGATGTTCACTGAGTATCTGAAAATGCCATTTGGCCTAACCAATGCTCCGTCTGTATTTCAAAGGACCTTAAATAATACTTTAGGCAATTTACGTCATCATCAAGTTTTAGTTTACATGGATGATTTACTGATTCCGTCAAGTTCCATTGACGAAGGTTTAGATTTACTAAAAATGGTTTTCAAAATTCTGTGCGAAGCTGGATTCAGATTGGATCTGAGAAAATGTTCATTTTTGAAAAATCGAGTACATTTTCTTGGTCATGAAATCGGTCCAGACGGTATTTTGTCGAGGTCAGTTAAGGTTGAGGCGGTTAAAAATTTCAAAATACATTCAAATGCTCATGAAGTTAGGCAGTTTCTAGATTTGGCAGGGTATTTTCGTAAATTTATTCAAAATTTCGCTTTACCGCTCACAAAATTAACTAGAAAGAACGCTCCATTTGAATGGGGCCAACCCCAAATTTCAGCTTTCTCAGAACTCAAAAACCTGTTGTCATCAAAACCGATTTTGGTGCCTTATGACCCTAATTTGAGAATAGAAATACATACAGACACTAGTTCGGGCGGGATAATTCCACAAGTTCAAAAAGACGAGCGCTTTGACAAAAATCTGACTAAGAAATTCTCATATAAAAATAATCGATTGTATAAAAAAAAACATTATATGCAGAAAGATTGGCAAGATTTCAATTACTTCGAAAATATCATGACGAAATAGGTCACCCAGGTCCAGAGCGTAACTAATTAAAGATCAGTTTAGGTTTACAAAAATGTCGCGTTTTGTCAACAAATATGTACATTCTTGTCTAGATTGTGGATTTGGCAAGGGTAACTATGGCAAAGCTGAAGGTGAACTACATCCAATTTCGAAACCTAATATGCCCATGCACACTGTTCACATCGATCATATCGGATCATTTCCTATGAGCAGTAGTTTTACATACATTTTAACTGTAGTAGATTCATTTACGAAAAATGTGGTGGCAAGGCCACCTCGGACTTTAGGTTCAACGGAGTGTATCAGAAATTTGCGACAAATTTTTGGAGAATTTCTTGGATATCCAAAACGTATAATTTCTGACAATAGTATGGCGTTCAATAGCAGATATTTCAGAGAGTTCGTAGACAGCAAGCAAAATAAACACATTCGAACGGCAACCGCCACTCTTAGAGCCAACGGCCAGGTTGAAAGATTTTACAGAACATCGTTAGATGCAATGAAAACCGCGTGTATTGATGAAGATAGGTACTAGGACGACAAAACTCCTGAAATTATTTGGGGAATCAACAATACCATTAATAGTAGCACACAACACAGTCCCTTTCTACTCTTATTCGGGTATAAAGGAAATCTTCTTAATAACCCAGAAAAACCTTCATGTCCACTGACTTTACCAACAAGAGGGAAAAAGCCAGTGAGCATCGTGAGTATGTTGCGAAAAAATGAAAGTCCGATATGATCGTAAAAGAAAATCACCCAGAAAATATAAAATGGGTGATTTAGTTTTGTGGAAAGGGGGCAATTCATGTAACGAGTAGGGTATCAATAAAAAGTTGAACAAACGGTTTTCTGGCACTTACAAAATAGATAAGGTCTTTGACAATGATAGTTACAAAATACGAAGTATAAAGGGCATGAGGGGATATAAACATTTTGGAACGTTGGTAGCAGCTGACATCCTGAGACCCTACCGAAGTTGTACCGAAGATATTGATAGTAGTGACACCGAAAGTAATGCGAGAGATAGAGACGATTTAATCGATCTTTTAGAAAGTTGAAAAGTGGTGGTCGGGCAAGACGACCTTATAGGTAACCTGTGGAGTGCTAGGTTAGGTTTACGAATAATGCTTCATTTTGAAAAAAAAAGTCGTTTAGGTTTGATTTCAATATGGTGGTGGTCGGGCGGGACGACCTAAAAGGTAACCTGTGGAGTACTGCGAATACAATTGCTTTGGGAGAGTCACAGCAGAAGGCTCTGGCCAAACAATCTGCTGAAAAAAAAAGGAAAGAGGATGATGTAGTTGTTGTCCAACCTAGACCGGGTTTTTCTTTGAACCACTTACTGCCGTTGATTTCCGCTTTCAGGTCACAAATGTGAAGAGCTGACCAAGTCACAGAAAATTACCGAGGACGGAATTATACAGGATGGCCGAATTGTTATGGCATCGCTCCTTGCCGTCTGAATCAACAGGGGTTATGATTCATTCTTAATATTATTCACTGTCTGATGTTTCAGTTTATTACGAAGGGGATTATTCATTAATAAAAGTGTCGTTGTACAGATAAGTCGTTTCCTTAGTGTTGTGCGATAGTGCCTTTCGGTCTCTTTTGTTAAAACTTGACTTTTAGCTGCTGCTAAAAATGAAAACCTAAACCCTCACGATTTATGTTGAAAGCATTTTTATAGAAGAGTTGAAATATAAAGTTTTAGTTTCATAATTTTGAAAACCGTATAAAAAAGTACAATATTGATATTGCAAATTTCTGAACTCCGTTAAAAACCAGGAGCCTCCGTTATAACTTCACATAAAACTATTTTATAACGACGAAGGCTTCAAAATTCAATTTTGTAATAGCTTCATCGAAGGAAAAAATTTGCCTCGTGCAAGTGCAGACATTAAAAATGAAACATAAACACAAGTGATCATGGAAATGAGCGAATTCCACGTGCTCCCGCTTGTAGAGACGATAGAAATTGGAACCAAAATAACAAATTTTCGATCGTCATAATGTCCATTGTTATTAAACAACTGGTCAAATTTCAATGATTGATTTCATTTTTGGTGACGTTCACACCGACGTTTAGATAGTCAAAATTAAAAATGTTTCGATAGTGAAGTGATCAAAGTTATAAATATAGATGGAGAATATGAATGGAGTTTTTCCACAAATTTTACGCTCCATATAACAATAGTTAGGTAAATACATTCTTAATTTTTCCTAGTATTCTTCCTTAAAAGACAGCAGTCAAAACGGTCAAATTCAGATAGAGTTGAAAGAGTATTGTAGAAATAATAACCGCTGAACGTTCGAAAAGTATATTTAGCATTATCGTGTTGATATTTAAAATAGACTATACGTTTCTTAGACATCGATTAATCACAAAACTTCCCAATGTCGAAGAGAACATATCGAGAAGAGATAACTTTTTGATATTTCCAATTCCGGTTTTCTCCTTTTTTAAGATGATGAATATAATTCAACCACAACTGAACTATACCTTCAACTTGATGGGTATCAATAGTTAATGTTTATTGTCTTTCAAAATTGAAACACAAGTTGTTTTTAATGGAGGATTGGAAGTAGCGTAAGCCATTTCAAACTAATTCCATCTGCCACAAAAGAAAACAATAGAAAATATAATAATGACAGAGAAACTATTTACAAATTTCGGACAAGGAAAAGGAGGCCAGTAAGGAAAAAGTATTACAAAGTCGTTTAAATTGTGAAAAGGTTGCAAATTTTGTACGATTATGGTGATACATCAGTGAAAATGTCGCCTAAAAGGCTAATTTATACCGGTCCATATATAAAACTATTAATTGTTCTCGGAGACGAAAAGTTCGATTATAAATATGTAAACGCCATCTTTTAAAGCTTGAAAAGTGGAAAAAAGAAAGTGTTTTTTGAAATAACATTCGAAGAAGCTCTGAAATAGCCAATTTTTTTTCTAGTACACCCGGTTTTTGATTTTTCCATGCTGCCTCTTTCTATCTTGGACACAGAGTACAATTACAATTAGAGTTCAATGAAAATCTTCCTCAACTAACTCGGTTTCATTGTAAATAAAGACATTATCCTCCGGACTATTCTACAATAAAAAGTATTCTACTTTTTCACGAATTCCTACCATGTTCAATGCTTTGGTACAAAACTCCAAATCACGATTTTATACGTAACTCAACAAGGTTATTACCACACAATAGGTGCTCTTTGACATCGGGTTTGTCTAAGATGATTTATTTAATTCGAAAATTTTGCAAATGCAAATCCAGTATCGATAGGGATAGAATAGGGGTTCGTTAGTGTAGAAATACATCGACGTGTGGTTGAAACATGGATACTCTACAAAAATTATATCATGACATTTTGGAAAAAAATGCAGGTAAGGAAGATGTACCAAAAATTGGATATTTATTTCAATCGGCAATCGCGCAACGTTTTATAATCAAACAACATTCTAATCCTGATTATTTTGAGCTGTAGTTAGATTAAAATTGAAGAGTGCATGTTAATAATAATGTGAACAATTTCATTTCAATTCTTAGTGCCTGGCAAATATGTTCCATAATACGTTTTGTATCTTTTACTAATGTTACATAAAAGCGTCACTGTAACTTTAATCTCAGGTTTTATTTAGGAAGAGATATGGGTAATCTAAAAATGATTCTTCAGATAAACATGCTCCAAACATTTACATTTTTGACTATATAATATTATATTATAATAGAGATTGATGAGTTAGAGCAACAATAATTGGTTAAAATATATCCACCTTTCAGGAAAGAACGGAAAAGTTCTATATCCAGAATCTGTAAGTTTTTTGGAAAACAAACTTTGAATTTTCATCAAATCTTTAGTCGTCAGTGATGAAACGGACTCAAATTATTCACTTCAACTGCTGAGAATATTCTCATAGATGCCCTCTCTGATATTTTCAATCTGATATTTTCAAGATTACTTTAACTTCATTCTTATAGAAATGTCTACTATACACTGTGTCCAAAATAAGAATGAACATCATGGTGATATCGCAAACGGTAAGTAGCGCATTTATGTGCCTAATGATATACCATTTAGAAAGTTTCAATATTCCGAGTAATTTTGGAGATATCCGAGAAAAACCGAATTTTTCTGTGACGTTAAGTTTATAAAATGTAATTGTAATGTAATAATAAGAAGCTAATATGTATTACAGAAAATAAACAGAAACTTATAACAAGTGTTCAAATAACCCGTCGTTATTTTCTAAGCACACGTACGCTCGTCTCACAGATGAATTCAGTTAACATATTCGAAACAATATTGTTAAAGGATGCAGTAACCAATCTTTGCAAATCTTCTTCATTTTGAAAATTATGAGAGTACACTTGATTCTTGATATATCCACAAAGGAAAAAGTCTAGTGGGGTTAGGTCGGTGAACCTTGCAGACCAGTATGTATCACTATGAATACCAATCCACTGTCCTGGAAAGCAACGGTTCAAATAATCAAAACAATTCTAGCGTTATGTGCTAAAGCAACATCTTGTTGAAACCAGCTGTGAGTAACCGTTAAAGGCAAATTATCTAGAGCGTCTTCCAAATCATTTACTAACAAATTTATGTACCGCTCTTTTGTTGAATTGTTTTGCTAGATACAAGGCCAAATAACATTCGTACCGAGAATCCTAACCCATATGTTAAAATTGAAACGATGTTGATGTCTAAACACTTTGTGTACATGAGGATTTTTTTGTGACAATAATGAGCATTCCGCCAATTGAAAATGTCATATTTGGAGATCGTAGTGTCATCAGACCAAATTATTTTGAAAGGGAAATTTTCATCATCTTGGCATTTTCTAGGGTATCATTCACAAAAGGTTGTTCGCTTTGTATCGTCACCTGGTCTGTTGTTGTATCGTCATTTTGGTAAAGTTGACAATACAGTCTTTGTATCAGATCAAAATAATATTACTATAAAACATTCTTGAAACTTTCACTCAATATTTAAAATAAGTTATCAATGTTGAAATTTAATACAACGCAGTAATAACGAGAATATTCGAATATTGAAGTAAATCAAATTAGTTGGAAGAAGAGATGTCATAGCCTTCACTTCCACAGGCTTGGCAGGGCAGTTGAGTCCAAATTAGCGTCACTGATGATACCAATGACATATCGAAACATCACTGTCGGGTGTGGGATCTGGTGTGCTTTGTTTTTGGGGGGCTTTGATTTTAACTAGTTGCGTTGCAGTGTGATCTGCTTTGAAAGTTAGTTAGGTGGAACCACCTATTGGTGTGACACCCAAGTCAACTTGCCAAGTTTTTATGTCAGTGTTGGTGGTTTGACCAATCAACTGACAACTGCGGTAGCAGAAATTTGGGAAGCTAACCTGAAATGCCATCGGAAAACGAATCCACATGTTTTTACGCAGTCAAGCTGCTAGCTATTTCCTGAGCTTTTCAATAAATAAGTTCAATGAATTAAAACAAATTTAAAAGAAATATTGTTTTTGTTAGATTAGGCGATTCCCTCTAGATAATCGTCAGATTATGAGACAGCACGTCTAAAACATAAAGATGAACCTTATATATCTTAATCTGACGCGCTTGAGTATTTCAAAATGACGATTTTTTTTGCACATTATAAAAATGGCTGCGAGTTTGCGTCAGATCGAAATCGTCAGATTATTGAATGAGAGCTTTTTTTTGTTGCACTTAACACCCCTTAGAAAATCTGACGCGCTCGATTGAATTTTTTTTCACTTTTAACCCTTACGTACAACCACCCACATCATGCAAACGATCAGATTAACATACCAACATTATTAAAAATACGTAGGACATTGATGCTATCAATATCTGACGCGCTCAAGTATGTCCATGCAACAGTATTTTTTTTACATATTTAAAAATCTATAGCCGCTTCCCGCACCGATGAAAAAGTATATATTATATAACATTTTTTTTTTCTTATCATCTAAGCTTTGCAACCTAATATGTCTCAATGATGCTCGAGTAAATCCCCATTATGCATCGTGGGCTCCACTGCTATTTTTTAGGCCCGGGACTTTTTAGCACATGTTAGATAGAGTATGGAAAACGTGAATATGTGTAAAAAGGTTGAATTTTTTCGAAGTAAAGGAGTTAATATAATTCATACGAAATTGCTGTGTGAATAAAAAAACCTGGCATTTTGACAATACCGCTAGGCTCATCTGAAAATTGACCAAAGAATTTTCTGTATCACAGCATGAAAAACCTTTTCGAATTCAGTTGTTTCAATTCAACAACACCCAGCGTTTTTCAGTTCTGAGTTTTATCGTCAGCCATCTTGGTAATGCAGAAGGCTCGACGAGATAGACTCGTTATTTGTCCAGTTTCCAAGTTGGTCATCTCTATTAATTTTTCATCTCATAATTGACATTTTTCAAATACCATCAATATTTCCACGTCAAATATTCGGTATATTTCAATTACTCGAGTCGTAAGGAAATGTCATGAACTTGGACTATTTCTGATTATTGGAGGCTAGACAACTAATATGTTTCTAATGGTATGTAGTCGGCGTTGAAACAATACAACCGATTGAAATACTTTTCCACGGAAAATCGAGAGCATAATTGATTGGTAGGCAAAATTATTTACGTGCAGCATGCGAAGAAGAAAAACTGAAGCGATTATCACTCACTGATAACTGCATTGAAACTGATAACCATATCAACAATATCCTTTTTAAAATTAGGAATTTAAGTGGTCACCAAATTTCTTGATAACTCGGTTTGTGACCACAAACTTATATTATTACTTATATTATCATCTCAAAAAATAGTTAAAATGATTTTACAGAATTTCTGATGATCAATTTTTTTTTACTAATCTGATCCTTTATCCCTCACAGGCGGCCTTATATATGGGGCTCATATTTGGTGGAGGTACTTAAACGGGTACAAGGTATCCCCCTGTATATTAATCTGCCGCGATTTAGTAAATCCCGAAATCCCCGCTTGGGCTCCCCTATTATAAAGTGCACATTTATGATGATAACCCAGTTTTGAATTTCATATATACTTTTACTGGTGGTACACCTGATGTCGATAGTAACTGAATATCTGAGTAAATTGAAGTTACCAGTTTTCTTTATAACCAAAAATAATATTCTCTACGAATGTATCGAAAAGAACTTTTTCAGACAAGTGCGGGTTTTAAAAAACCCAGAATCAGTTAAAAAAATATGCTTGTTTTGTCCACGTCACTACATATGAAACTTCTCGACTGATCGCAAAAGGTATGTTTCAAGACGCAATATGACGGTTAAACCGTCATATTGCTCATTATGTAGTTCAAAGCATATATTTATATATTACTAGCGACTGAACTCAGCTTCTAACGGGTAACAGAACATATAATTTTTTTCTGTCAGTGTCACGTCAGCTTGTAACTGTTAGTAATGACCTATTGAAATAGGTACTTGGGTGAAGCTACCCTTTGGTAGGGGTATAGGTATAAAATAAGATTCTTGGAGCTTTCATTATTTATAATTTATCCTTTTATTCATACCTTCAATTCAATTTTAATTGTTAACTTTCATTTTTTCACTGTTTGAATCTTGGTTTTCTTGGTATGTATTTGAGGTTATCTGAATTGAATTTGTTTTAGTAGTAAAAAGTAAAGTGTTCACAAGTTTTTCTGGATATGAGTTTTCAATAAGAATTCTTTTTAAAGTATTGAGGCAATCATCTTTAAATATGGAATTTGTTGTATAAATAACTCTTTTTTTCATTAATTGAAGGGGTTATATTTNCCTACATACAAAAAAAATTGTTTATTTATTAAGAAACAAATTTTTACTCATGTGCTTTTTTGCAACTAACTTTTCTTTATTTTCAGTATTTTTATATTGATATATGTTACAAAAAGGATTTGAAGCTTTATAGCTCCTATTTATTATATGCGAGCGCTTTCGACAGCTGGTCGTGCTATCATGAAGGCTATACTCAAACTCGAGAAATAATGGCTTATTCACGGAGCGATTTTAAGCAATACAGCATTAATCCTCATCAAATTGAGTACCTTACATATATTATGCATTTAATATAGATAGATACGGCCTTCTACAGCATGCAATTTGAATTAATATTTTAGAAGATATTGCAGATTCAAAATGCAGGGACACAGCGGTTGCGGATGTACCGTCATGATCTGCACATTTTTGTGAAGTTTATTTTGATTACTTTATTCCTTCCTTTGGGAGTTTTTCTACAAACTTTTTTTGGAAGTTTATACAAAAATTGAGAAGCAAAGAACCAAAAAGCTTTTTTTTCGAAAAATAGTATCTCCAAAAATATTTCCTTTTCAATTTAAACAACAATATGCAGTGAATTGTTTTGTTATATATCAAAGAGATTAGTTTCGATGAAAGCTCGGACATCTCCACCCCGATTTCGCACGGATAACTTCCGAAAACAAATTTACACGAAAATTCATTGAATCATACATTCTACTCTGCATCCTGTAAATTGTGTGTGGGTATCAAAACTTGGGACCACACTTTTCTGCGGCCGTCATTCACAGTGAAATAGGAAATCGTTTTCTAAGCAAATTGTATTTTTCGTTAATATATGAAACATTGCTGCTGTCAATCTCGAATGATTTCGATATACATTTGGTAATTCATTATTTTACACTTGCGTACAAAATGCCTGATATTACACATAACATGTATTTATTAGTTAGTTATTACGGTTAGTTATTACGGAATATTAACAAAACAGGCGGAAAAATCATTTATACCAAGAACTTTCCGAAGTATATTAGCAATCAGTTGAGTGTTTTACCACATTGCTCAATTTATTTTCACATTCAAGCATAATAACAAGTTTTCTTTTCAGATCCGAGAGTAAAACACTGGACACTAATGGGTAGCCCTGTTCCAACCTTAGTCATTATAGCAATATATTTAGCATTGATCCTAGTCATATTACCAGCATACATGAAGAATCGGAAGCCATTCAATTTAAAGACCACCATTAAATGTTACAATGTATTCCAAATACTTTCCTGCATTTTCATTATTTATACGGTGAGTATAATGATCTCGATAACAATCTAACAATACACATCGTAGTCTCATTATATATCCAAGACAGTTACAAAATACATTGGATGACCCGCAGCGTTATTTTTTCAATGAATATACACTTTATTCCTCACGGTGATAATATGAACCACCTCTAGTTCCAGACCTAATTTGTATTTATTTATTGGAGTAAACTGTGTTAGTCTGTTTTACTAATATGTGAACATGAAGTTTTTTCATCGAATACATAATATGAAATGTTCAACTATAAACAAAAATTTACAGACAAAATCTATCAATAGGTGGAGGAGCCATGGAAGAGAAACTATAACTAATAGTTATTGAAAAAAATCTTATGTATGTAGGAAACTGGGACGAATTGTCATGAATTGCAAGTTTCATTCTAATCTGTTTAATCTGTTTTTCCGTTAATCAGCTGTCGCCTCCATACGAACGACAACTCTCATTCATCTCTTATTTACTAATAATAAAAATGAATGATTTTTATTTTTATCTTGGTGGAATTTAGCTCACGTGAAAAACATCGAAGGTATATATGGCCAGCCTAATTGTCAACTTATGGCCCAAGTCAGTTGTACAGAGTACACCAACACAAAACCACATGAAACAAACGAATGGTTTTATCTGTGATTCTGATGATGTGATATCTATTTATGATCAATAGCGGAAAGAACAAGAATGAAAAAAGGGTGAATTATAAAGATATTTTACTTATCAAATTGAAATATGCAGTGTTAAGGCCATCGACATCTCTTCTAGTGTTAACACTATCACATTTGAGGATATGTATCATTTTGCTCAAAAGTATTTTGGATAAATATGGTTGAACATCTAGAATAGTTGGATGATCAAAAATGTGTCCATATTGAATTGAAGGGGTTCTATTTTTAGGAGTGATTAATTTTTGGGAAAGAAAGTTTTTGACTTTCTACTACTCCATCTCGATACAAAAAAAGGATAGATGTAGGTCATACTTGATGTTTTTCAGCACCAGCGATATTGTTTTATATTCTTGTTTCAGTTTTGTAGAATGCCCAATTGGTATACTTCTATATTTGTTGCCATTATGTAGAAGGACACACTTTAAACTGCGTTTGGAACTGTCAATAAAAAGACGCCAGTGATCTGGTGTATACTCCGACACACCCATTTTTTCTAACAGTCCTTTAATATTGATACAAAAAACCATATCATCTTGCTAAGAAAAAAAAAGGCAAATGATCTTTTTCTCTATTACGGTAGTATGTAATTTTGGTGTCTGAGTGAAGAAGTTTCTTTTTCTTTAGTCTGGAGGCAAGCAACTCGGAAGAATCCTTTGGAAAGTTCAAATCTCTAATAAGATCGCTTAGCTCGTCCTGAGTAAAGCGCGCAGGACGTGTTGAATCCCCTTCAAAATCTCTGTCGTCTTCCTCAAATCTATTAGTCTGAAGTTCGTCAGATAACGTTTCGACATAATCCTCGGTAACGTAGGTAGGCTGCTTAATATTGGAATGGGCATCTGCTCAAGCTGATGTGGAATTTATCTTATTGCTGAATCCAGGTTAGGATATGTCCACGTATGGCGATTGTTATTATTAATGCCTTTTATATTCACAAGACAGAAATAGCAATCGTCAAAATGATTTTTTGGTTCCCTCCATACCATTGGAACACCAAACATTTTCGTTGTTCTTTCGTCCACTGTCGCACTGAATACCAAAAAAGGCTTGATTTGCCCTTTTTATAAAATCAAAAACTGGTTTTCTACTTTTCTTTACAATGTACTAGCAACATATGTAGCAAAAAACGTTCGGGTTATTCACACAACAACGCCTGCTTGTAGAAGCCAGGGATTTCAGTTGTCAAAAACGAACTCTTGCAACGAAACTCAAGGTCACACTAAATTTTACAATGGAATGCAGTCGACTTTATAGAAATTTATGAAGACCATTTCCGAGAAAATACTATTTACTCATCGGACAATAGGTAAGAAATAATTAGCGCTAATTTCATGTTATGAGCATTTCCAATAAGTACACTTTAATTAGAAGTCATTAGTATGCATTTGTCTTAGAATTTGTTAAGTTTGTTTATAAACATATTGCAATTATAGTGGTGGAATATACAGAAATGTAAGAATATTTAAGTATTTGATGAGTATGTTATATCTCGAAAATTAGATCTGATACAAAGAAAAGGTTTGTATGTTTGGAATCAGCACAGATGAATTAACCAAAATCAGTTGAATTTTTTTCGGCAGCAAGACAAAATTTTTTTTTGGTGGGCTGTGTTTTCTATAAATTATATTTTGAATATACCAAAGTGGAGTATGCGCTTTCACACAAATATGTGGTTGAAAACCCCATCCGCTCTTTTAAGGCTATGTTAGAAATAACTGAATAATCTCCCCTGGACTTTATCCATAATGGGAAAAACAATTCAAAAGTATTAAGTGTTTTTAAGATGTTTCCGAGACCCACCCAAATTGCTCCCGCGACTCACCCAAATTGCTCCCGCGACCCACTAGTAGGTCGCGACCCATAGTTTGGGAACCACTGGTTTAGACTACTCCGGTATGTTTTTTTTGATCTCATTGAATTTTTATATTTCCAGATGTATACCGCAGGATGGGCGCAAGGAGAAATCAAGTTCGGATGCGCACCAGTTGACTATTCCAATAATCCAAATCCAGTGAAACTGTTAGGAGCTTTTTACTGGATTTATTTACTGAAAATGGTCGAATTGATTGAAACGGTATTTTTTATTCTCAGAAAAAAATCCAACCAAGTGTCACCACTGCACATCTATCACCACGCGTCGACATACCTCTTAACTTACATCGGATGTAAATTCGTAGGAGGTAATGTGAATTATATACGAGAATTAAATAAGTATGGAATGTTAGTGCGGTAAAATTAAACCAAAAAACGTCCAATATTTCAGCATTCGAAATATTTGGTCCAGAATATAGAATGATGATATCATAACTCATGTATGCCTCTCTNCGAAGCTTTAAGAATTACTATATCGGTTACTTCGATTATACTAAAATTTACGTCTGACGCAGTAGTAGACAAAACCTTTGGGTTACTACAAGTTTCTTCCGACCATGGTCTGCAGCCCGGATTGTGTTATTTCTGTATCGAATAGTAAATTGATGAAAATATTTCGAGACTCATTTCTATATTGAAACTGGCATACTGAATATAGAACATCACCCCTATTTGTCACATGTTGAAAGAATAAGTATGACATTACTTCATCAATAATATCGTAATCGCATCCGTAATAAGCAATTTAGCCAAGATATTTGAGCACACTTTAAAAAATGGACTAGTTGTTTTCAGAAAAAAAAAGTTATAAATGACATAAAATTTGGCTTCATTAACAACAGTAGCAAAGAATCAGTTGTTTTTGATTTCTCTAAAGATACAATAGGTGCCTTGGAAAACTCCGAGAAAGGTTTTGCAGTCTTCTTTCACTTAGCCAAAACGAAGTTTCATAAAAAACACCTGAATAAACTTGTATGTTAGGGTATGATATTCTTAAACCCGATTTTGATGTTCTGTAAAATTGTGTTTCAGACCCCAGAGTGAAAAAGTAGGCAGTGAAGAGAGTATATACTTATGTATCTCAATAGAGGCTCCACAGGGCACGATCTTGGGTCGTATATTATTTTTGATATATAAAAAAATGCTGAATTAAATCACTAATCTTGCAGATCATCTCTACATATGCTGATAATATAGCAATGGTGTATACAGACAAAATACGGGAAGATGTTTACAGATGACTTGAAATATTTTACAAATCTAGTTAAATGACAAAACAGTTTGAACACATTGAAAGTAAAGTTTGAAACTCTTTACTCTCAAATCATCACCCAGAAAACAGAAAATAAACATTCAAGTATCAAATTGTGACAAGGTGGATGTGCAACTATAGAAAAAGTATCCAAATTTAAAAATAGGATTATTTATTATAAGATCAACATCCGAGATGGGTTGAACATTCATCATCTGTTGTGAAAAGGCATAGACGAATACAAGTAATCTGAGAGAACAAATCATAGGGCAAAATGTTTGCTCATATATTGGGTAACATCACTATTGTCACTCAAAATGCAATTATTAAAATAATATTCACATAACATAAACGATTTGTTACAAATCAATAATAATGAATTACTGATAATTAGGAGTTATTATGTTTATATGTCGCTGTCTCAGTTGAATGTATTTTAATATAGCTTCGTTCTGCATGAATGAGATAAAAAACTCACGAAATATAGAGAATCAAAATAAGACTATTCGAAATTATTCAGAAGAGCCATGAAACAACAAATTTTCAAAAAGTATAACGTACTCGTTTAGAAATTGATCGAAAGAAACGACCCCTAAGTAATATACTTGCTGAAATATATGTAAAAATATTTCATGTCAGATTTTCAAAACAGATGACTAAAATCAAATGTCCAAATTACCATTGATACTTGTCACACGTGTAGAGTTTAATAGTCATTTTTTTTTAATATTATCATGTATGTAATAAAAATGATCTGTTGAACAATATACATCGATAGGTAATTCCAAGATGAATTAGGAATAGATCCCAAAACAAGCCATTCAGCAATTAGGTGACTAAATTTTGTCCTTCGAAATGGTAATACTCTATAATAATTTAACAAAAAATGTTAACATTCCGATGATGAATATATCAATCTTGAATTATTTCAGGTGGAATGGCTTCATTTCCTGTGATGGTAAACTCATTTATCCACGTCCTCATGTACACCTACTACTACCTGTCTTCCTTGGGGCCAGAATGGCAGAAGAAATTAGCACCGTGGAAACCTAGATTAACAATAGCCCAAATGGTGAGAAACCTCAATGAAAATGTTTTGAACACGTATGTGTTAATCACTCTAAAATTAATGCAATGTTCTTTTTCTTTCAGCTACAATTCACTCTGCTAATATTTCACGCATTGACCGCTTTGCCATCTAGTTGCAAGATACCAAAACAGTTTCTCCTAATATATCTCCCGAATGTGGTTATCATCTACAAAATGTTCTACGACTTTTACATGAAGAGTTACAAGAAAACGGACAATACTCAAGCGAACAACTCTAAACCTCAAGCGAACAACTCTAAACCTCAAGCGAACAACTCTAAACAAAACGGTGTGAAAGTCAGCCAAAAAAATCAGACAAGTAGCAAAAGTAAGAGAACGTGATCAAATAACAATTCAAAATTTGGGATTATTCAGAATTGTACAAACGAGATGAATGGCTTGAGACCTTCCATAAATTCTAAAAATATATTGCTGAGTTGATATACTACTTCATCACATATATCTTTCGAAAATTCAACTTTTTATACCACTGAATTGAAATGTTCGAAAACTTGAAATTGTACTTTCAATATGAAATATAGTTTTTTTAATAGTATAACTAACAGTTGATCTTATCAGATAAGTTTTGCATCAAAGCTTTTCTACATTTTCTTATTCACAAAAATTGTTAACACCAAACTGATAACCAAATTAAAAAAAAAATCATGACCCAAACCACATTTTGTTTCAATAACAAGTTTCATAAATATTGAACTCTTAGTAATAACAATTTTTCTAAATATAATCCTGCTACTTTCAACGTATTCATTCATCAAATGATCTTTTAAGCCAACAACCCACAAGATGAATATCATTAATTTCGACTTCAACTGATACCTTCATCAGAAGATATTTTTTGTCAGTCGTTTCTATCAGACTTGAAAATCGTTTTCAGTCAGAATTACTTCTTTTTATTTCGACTAACTTCCAAGAAAACTTTGAAGTCTATATAATTTTCCAGAATCGATGATTTCCCTAATATTCAGAGTCAACTTTTGGCGTAGAATGAATCCAGAAAAACACTTTCCATAAATCAAAATTGTGGTCCTTTTTCAACTCAAGTTTGGCTGACCAAGTTGGCGTCATTAGGTGATGATTTAAACTGCCTACTGGATATCATGATGACTGCTTTGAATTTTATGTGTTCTTTTAAAAAATTGGGAAGCTTCTTTTTGAAATTTGTTATATAGTAGTGTTATAACAAAGCAAATGAAAGAAAGCGATGCATGAGTTTTGAGGCCAGCCGCCCACTGACAACTTCATTCAAGCAAATTTTAAATAACAGAATAAAATATATTGTTTCTTATAAGAGCCGGCACATAGGCAATTGTTTAGTTGCGGCAACTAAAAAATTATAACACGTTCGAATTTCCTGTAGACTTAGATTGTTTCTGGAAAAAAGGAAACAAATGATAATACCTGTCTCTCTCCGAATACTGGCGAAAATTAATAAATAAAGTGATTGGGTATTTTTCGAACTGTCAATCAAATTATGAATTTGTTCATCTATAAACCTTGTTTCTAGATGGACAAATCATTCAATAAGGGAAATTAAAAATTTGCCAGTATGCGGTTAGCCCAATAATGTTCATACTTCAAAAAAGTTCACTTGTGTATTCTCGACATTTTCACTCATTATTTTGAATTTTTGAGAAACAGAATAAAGAAAACAGTCAATTATACATGGTAATCGAGTAATATATATCCACTTCATTCATTTGGACATTATTATCACTTAAACTGGTTTCATAATTTGTTTGAGAAAGCAACCTTTTCCTAAACTCATTCACTCTCAAAATTCAATAATTTTATTTGTAACATATTTTCTTCACCGTAAGTTTGTAAATAGAATATGATGTCACGGGCATTACCAAGAGTGATCTTTTAAAAAGTTATACTATAGCGGGTGTTTTAAAAAATTAAAGCCATTTCTTCTTTTGACAATTCAGACCAGAGTTCACACTGTTTTTATGTTCTAATTCGACTTTCCAAACAAAACGTTTCTCCCACACTAGAACAAAACTCTGTTTTTATCGTCTCCTGATGATGGTAATTTGTTTAGCAAAACGCATATCGAAACGGGGTTTTGTTCTGGCGCGGAAAAGTGTTTTCTTCAGATTTATTTTAGGCCAGAGGTTGCAATTCTAATTCTACAAGTGTATAGTAATATGTTAAAATGAAAATAATGCAATTTAATTTTTAAATCAAACAAACTTGTTATTCAATTATTATTTATCTACTTTGGTAATTTACTAAATATTACAATAAAAAAATGTGTTTTATTCGTGTAACCTCACCTGTTTAGAAGTAATCAACTTTACTATAGCAAACTTTAACACTTTACAGAGCCCAAATGAAATACCATTTCGAGTATGTATGATTCAGAGGAAAGCGTAAAGGGCTTATGTCCTGCTGGTTGAATTCTCAACGGCCTAGACATAATGTTCTATACGAATCTATTCTACAATATTATACATTCGTTGTCGGCTGTGCAGTATTTAGAACATGCTAATTTCAGAGTTTTTTGTTGTTTTTTCCAAAATTTCGTTATAATATCACAAAATGATAGTTTCTATTGTAAAACACAAGCCAATTTCATTAAATATGTTGAATTCGTTACGAAAAGCTTTCGAAAATAATGTTCCTCAATATAGCGATAACAATAACTTTTTATTCGAACTACAATTCTTATCATTTAACTAAGAATATTAACTATCGCAAAGTTCATAGGGGATAATTTTAAAAAAAGGAAGTTTACCAAGAATTATGCAAAATGCTGGATTTTTTGTCGAATACTAGTGAAAGTATTTTCTTCATAAAAAGATTTTATATTTACCGATTGTCATTGTTATTTAATTCATGTAGAAACACGTAGTTATATGTGAAATTTGTATACATTATGAATTGTTATTGAAAGAAAGAGATGTGGAATATCGTTCCTAATGAAACTTTGTACACAATATCATCATGAGAAATATTAAATGTTCGTTTCGAAAGTGATAGGGCATTGAATCATTAACATCTTACATGGCCAAAGTCTAAAAATATCAACAATAATTTGCCTAATGATGCCGTCAGTATTTAAAATTATTAGAATGGAAACCTTCAAAATTGCCATTACAATTGAATCGTAATTTTCAGGAGATCACTTCACATTGATATTGACACGATAAAAAACAAATGATATATGCTTGAAAAATAAGCAAAATTCGTCATAACTATTCAATAAAAACAAATGAGAGAAAAAAACGAAAGTTGAAATCGAACGAACAGCGATTGATTGAATGAGTAGAACGAATCACTTACGATAACAAACCTGCTAGTTTGAAAATGAAAAATTTCAAAATGTCGTGTTTATTCTTGCAAAACACTTCCTGTATCAATACAATTGTTAAAATGGTCGGTAAAAAGAAAATACATTTATCTGTGTCTGTAAATGTTATCAATTCAACTCACCGCCGATAAAAAGATACGATTGAATTTGATATTGAGAATTCCCATTATTGTAGGTACGCAAAAACTGGAATTATAGGTTCTTCAAAAGTGGTTTTTGATCTTGAAAAACTTATCGTCAGAGGCCAGTGTCGATCGAATATGTCCAAAAAGTTTTGAAGGAAGCAGGTCTGAAAATTATCTGCCCAACACAATCTACGAAGAGTAGGTAGATAGGTAGGCAGATAGGGGCAAAGTGAGTCCATTTATCTTTCACACTTATTCAAACTCTACCAAATTGATCTGGTTTCTTTACGAATCAAATTACTTTATTTGATGAGTAACCGTTAAGGTCATCTTGCAAGAGAGGATTTCTGCAAAACGCTGAAAACCTGCTACGGTCCTTGGCGAGGCAGGTACAAAGTATGCTCTCTGCTAACAGAGCCCGAATTTCCTTGTGAAGACCTGATAGACGGTCAGTCTGCGACTAGCTTCGTCAGACAGATGAGCACCACAAAAGTGTGGCTCGGGAATTATGTCTCCCAGAAGGGTTTGTCGCCAAAATGTGGCTACCTGAGCAACTGAAATTTTTGTGTGAGAATGGACCAAACCACATCTGCACATTAACCGATTAAAGCAGGTGTCCCACAGGGGTCCTGCTTATCACCGTATCTGTATTCATTGTTCACGTACGACTTTCTCATGTTCTCGCGAACGAATGTGGGTATCTATGCAGACAATACCGAAGTTTACGCTCATTCGTTCTCGAGCGAGGTGGCTAAGCAGCAGCTGCAGATATCCACCTCGACAGGATGGTCGTGCCGTACTTTGATAGGAATAAAATTCAGATGAACACATCGGTAACCGAGCTCGTTAAATTTTCGAAGAAATTTACCAACGTAAAGATCTTCGGGGAGTTGCGAATCAAAGGCGTGAGCGTTGATGTACAGAAAAGCGCGCGATATCTGGGAGTTATCCTGGATAGACGCCTGAATTTTCAGGAACACTTGAGCCTGGCGACCCAACAAGCGGCTGCGGCGAAAAAACGCACATATCCGCTCATTGCACGGAACTCAAAGCTCAGTGTTAACAAATTGCTTATTTACAAAAAAAGTAATAAGACCAGCTATGTTGTACACCAGTCCTGTGTTCTGCAGCCTCAAGATATTTCATTTACAGATAGTCGAAAGGATGTAGCACAAGGTGCCTTGTATTTTCACATTCTGCCGTCTTGTTAGGCCCAATTCACACAGAACCGACGTCTGGCAGACACTTGGAGTGGACCTTTGTCCCTTTCGCATCTCTTCTATGTAAACAAAAGGTCCAATGTGCATAGAAGTGACGTGGCGCGGGCGGTCGCCCTCCCGCCCTCGCCATCGTCTCTCGTGGCGTATAAGAAGGGGCAAGCCAGTTCCTCACCACGTGTATATCCGTCTTCATCCTCCAAAAAAGGCGAAATGTTGTTGACTCCAACATACAATTTTGCGAAGAAGTTGGTAAATATCCTTGTTTATTTAATTTTAATCGTGCTGAATATTGTAATATGAGTGCCAAGACAAGGTCTGGCAGAAAATTGATGATAAAATACACCAAATCCCCCATATCCTCATCATCTTTGTCACTGCTTGAAAAAGTCATGTTGTAGTACACACCAACAGGTTAGTGACGTTCTTTCTCGCCACTGTCCCGCCCCTCTATGTGCATTGCATACGCCACGCTTCTGCCACGTCCGTGCCTTGCCGAAGCCTCGTCTCTGACAGACATCTGTTCTGTGCGAAATGGGCTTTAGACTCAACAAAACAGTCATCCTCTTGCCAATCCCCTTCCAACCCTATACTTATCCCCCTTCCTTCCCTAACCCTACTCCCATATGAGGGAGAATACGTTTTTTCACATATGTAAATAGATTTTTTGTTAGTGATGTATCCAAATAGACAAATAAAGAATTTTGGAAATATGTCTCCTGTGACATATCTCAGGAAGATGTTCACTCATGGCTGCGGGGTATTGACTGCACCTACCAGCCAGAAATAGTTTTTTTGATTATCTTAGAGAACCTGTAGCCATCTATATCCTGTCTGTTTTTTCTCCTCTGTTTCATACAATATCCGTCTGTTTCAGTCTTTATTTCTGTCAGTGTATTATAAAACATGTGCTGTTGGAAAGCATCACGTATAATGATTTGGTTCACAAAATTTCCTTCTCTGTAACGTTTGTTATTACACGTATTATTAAAAATCCATTTAACTGCAATGAAAATTGCATTCAACTGAGAATCTCATATATTTCATTTTCTCTCTCTAAATTAATTCTTGTCTCTAAATTTTTCAATCCCGGTATCGAACATACTCCAATTGATGTTTGATGAACAGCCAGTTCACCCTTTTTAAAGTTGCAGTTGTCTTTGATGAACATAATAACGTATCAGAGAAATTGTAGACATGTAAGTTATACTTTAATCGATTATTTATTTGAATTATATATGCCTCTGAAGAAACATTTTTGTAAAATAGCTATATATTGATTAATTTTGATTGATTTTAAGTAGTTATCTTCTACAATCTCATTCTTCTGGAGGTATAGTTCAAGTAAACGATATAGTGCAACCTACCTTCCAACAGCTCCCCTTTAATAATATAGGTAGGGAGCTAACTAATTTCGTTATTCGTTTTTATGTATACAATCGATCGCTTCAAAAACACTTCACTAACTTTCTTCGAAAGCTTCTGATAATTCCTCTTCCATATTCTCTGTTTCACTATCACTGTTGTCGTTTATACAAATAATGAATTTATTTCCACCGTTAATATGTAAGTGTCCAATCTCCATATATTCTTTTCCAATTAAAATTACTTTTTTAATCCTTTTCTGCAAATCTTCTTCGGTAATATTAAATACTTCTTCTTTAATTAGCTCTATTACCTTATATATCAATTTTGGAAAATTATTTTTACGCCTGATGCTTTGTTTCAATTTTCCCCAAATCAACTAGATGGGATTGAAAACACAAAAATAGGGGGGAGGGAAGTCTCAGAATGGTGTGACCATAATTTTCAGCAATACTCTCAAGGGCCTACACTTTTTCAAATGTGTATGTTTGTAAAACTTCAAGTAGTTGGTTTTTGGTATAGTAATCTTCAAAATACAAATTGTTATCTATTGGAAAAACTTTGTATTTCATCTTTCCTCGAATTTTTATTCGGTACTTTGATGAGCTGTCGCGAATGATAGGAAGCGTTGTCAAGAACTATTACACTATTCGCATCCAAATTTGGGATCAATGCGTATTTAAACCATTCCTCGAAAATATTAGCTTCCATGTTGTTATAACAGGCAACATTGCAGTCCTCAAATTTTTTTCACATAGTTTCAAAAAATTCGGAACCCATCTTTTACTTCCTCCGCAATGATTAATCGCGATCCTTCGTTTGCAGGCATGTTAGGCATACACATTCTCGAACCATCAGTCCACTCTTTCGTAACTGTGTCGTGATTGTCATACCAAGTTTCGTCCAAATAGAAAATTTGCCATTGTTCTTGTCTATATTTAGTTATTTGTTTTAAGTATTTGTTACGCAATTCCACTGTTCTTCTGCTTTCCATAAGTGCTTGACGTCTGTTTATTATTTACGTTGTTATCACATGTTATTACTATAAGTACTCGTCCAAGGACGCCACATTTTAAACAGATAACAAAAACTTCAAGTACCTAATTATAACTGCACCAATATCGAATTTCAACACTCAAATCGCGATTAGTTCGGCGATAACCATCCCCGCATTCCCCGATTTCTATTTGTCACCGTAACATGACTTCAAATTTAATTTTATGA